TTCCTGCTCTTGGTGGACAATCATGGGGTGGCAATAACCTTTCCAAGTTTTCTGAACAGCTTTCCTGTAGATGATGCATTGGGATTGCTGGGAAGGTGCATTTGTACCAGTCCTTATGCCATCGTCTCTCTGCTGCCCTTCTTCCGCCCTTCTGGGTAAAGCCTCTGAATGACTTGCCTCTTCCTTTAGCAAATCTAACTGGGAGGATTTGGGGGCCTCCCCACCCCTATTCCTCCATTAGAATTCATGCAGATTCCTGGGAGAGGTGGCTTGAAACAGCCAGCTGGTCAGGACAAAATGAAATGACTTCTCTGCCTAAGACTTAGGGTGCACCAAAGAGTGTTGTGGGGTATGAGGCAAAGACTAGGAGAAGCCCCATTCCTCCCCAAGCCATGAGACCCTTGAGCTCAGAAAGCACAGCCCCACAGGCCTCGTGGGCTCCTGTTCCCTTTCTGCCTAGGGCAGGTGTCAGCGAACTGCAGCTCGCGAGCCACCTGTGGCTCTTGGGGTACGTTCAGTCTCAAAAGTTTGCCGATCTCTGGAAGAGCCAATCCTGTCCCTCACAACAATTTAAAAATTATTTGAGAGCAAATGCAATCACCATTATGTGAATAATATCCTTTAAAGATTTTATAAATGAAATTATGATAGTTTTATTTTCATTTTCAATTTTACTTCAGAGCCACATGTACGTACCCAAAGAGTCGCATGTGGCTCACGAGCCGCAGTTTGCTGACCCCTGGTGGCTCTTCCATCTCAAAAGTTTGCCAACCCCTGGACTGGGGGATTCGGTATGTGTGTGTGTGTGGGTGTCAACCCTCCATCTTGCTTGTTAGCTGTGGCAAGTCTCATGTTTGCTGATGCTGTTTTCTGCCCTTGAGTCATTTTTCTGCTATACTGTGATGAAAGTGCTTGCAGATGGGGGGCTGCTTGGGAGAGTTCTGTACATTGGGGGGTGGGGGGAACCAGTGCCCTGGGAAATGTGACACTCTCCCAAAGTCAAGGTTATTTACCACATATAGGATCTTACCTGATGATAGCTTGTTGCAGCAAAGCCGACTGAAAACTTCATGGGGATAATAGCAATGCCTTTCTTCTTCCAATAATTCTTCTTATTAAACTCTTCCACTTGCATTCTTCTGCTATGAAAGGAAGATTTGTCCAGACATTCGTTCCAACATCTTATCAGGGTCTCAGGGCTGAATGCTTGTTTGTAGATGGTTTTATCAAAAGTTTTGTACATGTTTTTTTCCCTAATCTGAAATGGGTGGAAAATTGAGTCAATAGTTATGGTAAGACAGAAACCGACTGCAAAATTGAGACTTGATAAACCTCCCCATTAAAGTACAAACTCTAGTGGGGAGAAGGCAGGTTCTTTCTTCTTTTTCTTTTAACAGTGTGTGCTTTTGCAAAAATAATGGAGGTTCTTTCTCATCTCTTCTTCAAAACACCAATCAGGGCCTCTCCCTCCTAGAAGTGGAGGGTAGTGGTAGTGACCAGTCCCTGGGGGCAAGTAGAATAGAAGAGCCTTGGAAGGCANTCTCTCTTCTCCTTCTGGTACCCCTATGATGTGAATGTTGGTATGCTTGATGCTGTTCCAGAGGCCCCTTAAACTTTCATTCTTTTTATGCTTTTTTTTTGCTGTTCTGTTTGGGTGTTTTCTGCTACCTTATCTTCTAAATTGCTGATTCAATCAACAGTTGATTCTCTGTAATGTATTCATCATTTCAGTTATTATAGTCTTTATTTCTGACTGGCTCTTTTTTGTGTTTTCTAGCTCTATTTTTATGCTTCCTATCTCTTTGTTGCAGATCTCACTGAAATCATCGAGCATCCTTATAACCAGTGTTTTGAACTCTTTATCTGGTGGGTTGCTTGTCTCCATTTTGTTTAGTTGTTTTTCTGAAGCTTTGTTCTATTCTTTTATTTGGGACATGTTCCTTTGTCTCCCCATTTTGGCTGCCTCCCTGTGTTTATTTCTATATAGTAGGTAGGGCTGCTATGTGTCCCAGTCTTGGTAGAGTGGCTTTATGTAGTAGGTGTGCTGTGGGGTCCAGTGGTGCAGTCTCCCTGGTTACTAGAGCTGGGTGCTCCAGGTGTGTCATTTGTGTGGGTTGTGTGTGTGCTCCTGTTATAGTTTAGCCTTGGTTGCTGTTTGCACATCAGTGGGAGGGATTGATACTCAGGCTCATTGGCTGTGAGGACTGGCCATGACTATAGTGAAGGAGCTGTGGTAGAGGGGCTGACCCTATGGAGCAGGATTCTCTTTAGCAGGGCTCTGGTACCTGATCGGCCCAGTGTGCCCTTTGAGTATGTTATCCTTGGAGGTGCTTGGGTGATGCTCCAGCTTGATTTGAGGGTGGCCATTGGGTGTCCAGCCCCAGGGCTACCTGGGAGGGGACCCACTGCAGACCAAATTCAGCTGCATTGTGTGCCCTGCCAGGGGCCACCTGGCATGAGCCACAAAGCAATCTGCAGATGGCCACCACCCATGTTGTGCTTGGAGGTGCCTGAAAGGACAAGCTGCAAACCAAAGCTGGCTACCTCTAGTGCCAGGCTTTGGGATACTCAGCCCGAGGTATGAGACATGCTGAAGCCAGATGCTGCTTGTTTGGGTTTTGTGAACCTTTGTGAATCCTTTGGAAAAACTGCAGCATGAGCCAAGGCTGGCAGTTTGCATAAAAAAGCCACTGGAAGTGGCTTGGGTATGCCTGAAAGTTTGGTGGGGTGTGGTCTCAGAATCACCAGGGCCAGGTGAATGAACAGCCTTAGCCAGGTTGATGGAGACTCAGATATGGCATCCACCTGCATCTGCACGCAGAGATGGGGGAGGGCTCAACAACAAAAAAATGGCTCCTGCCAGCTCCTCCGTCCAGGAAAAAGCTGCGCCTCCAACTTTCACCCTGAAGTCTGACAACTCAGTTCCTCTCTGTATGTCCCATTAGCCTTTTGAGCTGCTGCCCCAGCGCTGGAGTTCAGAGTGAGTGAGTGTGTCAGTGAGTAAGTCTGTGTGTGGGTTCTCCAAGAGGAGTGCCTGGGAGTGCAGCTGCCCTCTGGCTCACTCAGCCATAATCTCTG